TGGATGTCCTTTCTGTTGATTTTGAAACTATTTCTTTCTGTTCGTTGGCTTCCTTCTAACAGGCACCTCTGCAGCAAGGCTGCTGAAGTTTGCTGGAGGTCCGCTCCAGAACCTGCTTGCCTGGAATTACCAGTGGGAGATGCAGAACAGCAAAATGGCTGCCTTTTTCTTCCTCTGGTAGCTTCTTCCCTAAAGGTTACCTGCCAGATGCCAGCCAGTGCTCTCCTGTATGAGGTGTCTGCCAGCCCCTACTGGGAGGTGTCTCCCAGTCAGGATACATGGTGGTCAGGGAGCCACTTGAGGTGGCAGTCTGTCCCTTATCAGAGCTGGAACACTGTGCTGGGAGATCTGCTGCTCTCTTCAGAGCTGTGAGGCAGGAACATTTAAGATTGCTGAAGCTGTATGCACAACAGCTCCTTTTCCTGGGTGCACTGTCTCAGGAAGGTGGGGGCTTTATTTATAAGTCCATGACAGGCTGCTGCCTTTTTTCAGAGATGCCCTGCCCAGCAAGGAGGGAGTCTAGTGACATAGTCTGCCTACAGAGGCCTTGCAAAGCTGCTATGGGCACTGCCCAGTTTGAACTTCCTGGAGACTTTGTTTACACTGTGATGTTAAAACTGCCTACTTGAGTCTCAGCAATGGCAGAGGCCCTCCCCCAACCCAGCTCAAACATTCTAGGATCAGCTCAGACTGCTATGCTGGCTGCAAGAATTTCAAGCCAGTGGATCTTAGCTTGCTGGTTTTCATGGGACCCTCTGAGCCAGATCACTGGTTCCCTAGCTTCAGCACCCTTTCCAGGGGAGTGAATGGTTCTGTCTTGCTGGTGGTGTTCCAGGTTCTGCTGGAGTATGAAAAAAAAAAAAAAAAACTGCTGGAGCTAGCTCAATGTCTTCCAAACAACTGCCCAGTTTTGCTGGAAACCCAGGACCCTAGTGTTATAGGCATCAGAGGGAATCTTCTGGTCTGCAGCTTGTGAAGACCATGGGAAAGCATATTATATGGGCTGGAGTGCAGGGGTCAGTCCCTAATGGTTTCCCTTAGCTAGGAGAGGCAGTTTCCCGGCCTGTTTCACTTCCCAGGTGAAGCGATATCTCACCATGCTTCAGCTCACCCTCTTTGGGCTACACCCACTGTATAACCAGTCCCAGTGAGATGAACCAGGTACCTCCACTGGAAATGCATCGTTCACTCATCTTCTGCATTGATCTCGCTGGGAGCTGCGCACTGAAGCTGTTCCTATTTCGCCATCTTGCCAGCAAATCTCAGGAAGAATTAAAATAAAAACGCATTTTGGGGTAGGCAAATAGAACTTGAATGCAAGCTGATTTGATTCTTTCAGTCAAGTTATATAAACATGGTTGTGTATGTCCTAGATTATAAGTTAACAGTCAATAACATATGCCTGCCATTTCAATCCAAGCTCTAAAAGGGAGGCTTTGGAAATATGAAGTGATCCTCCAGCATAGTTCATGTTGTGTTAGTCTTGATTGTTATTGTAGTGATATTCATTTTAACCTTATTATTAATCTAAGAAATAGAGAATTTGGATGGGATCCAGAGGAAATTAGATAAAACAACAACAACAAAAGCAATTAGAGGGTTGACTGAAAAATAGAACTTAATAAGGTTGTTGAGTTTGGAGCAGTCTGTGCAGATAATTAATGACAGTTTCTAACTGTGTAGGTGAGACTATGGTATAATTAGCTGTGTATAACTTACTTCAGCTTCCACCTAAGAAGACGCATACTTAACATGAGTATGGATTTGCTTTGTTCATTGAAAAGACATTATGGGTTATTAAAGAGCTGCAATTTGTTATCAACTCTAGGATGCATCATAGTCAGGAGAAGAAAGGCTCATGGCTTGCTAGGAGAGGTTCCTGAAATGGATGGAATTGCAGAACAGGACAGTGGGTGGACAGGAAATGATCTCTGCCTCCTGGCACACAGGTTTTAGTTGGTATCCCAAATAATGATGAAACCCTCTGTTCATGAAAAACAAACCTCCCAATACTGGGCCTCACCCCACCCTACTTAGTTCTTTATACTTGGTTTTGGGACTATTGAATGTGGACCACTGTACTCTGTTTTTCTGTGCTGGTGACTGAGTGATTTACTTCTCATTACTGTGCATTAGCAGGAATTGATTGGAGATACTTCACTTTGTTTATAAACACAGCTTTTGTGAATTGCCAGTATGGTAGTTTTAGCTCACGTAATGTAAATACAAAATATGTATGTTTGAAATCACACTGATTTAGAAAGTTCTTCCACCATTCTCCAGTATAACAAGTTACTCCTTGGGTGAATGTTAAACTCTTTTAGGAACTTCTTTTGGTCACTGGATCAATAATTTACTATTTGAAAAAATAATACCTTGATGCCTATAATGTAATAAGGTCAGGTTGGTGAGTTATACATATAGGAAAATTGGGAAAGAGGTATTGTTCATTACCCCTTAAGAATCTAGAATGTATTACATGGATGAAATAATGGTGGTAAAAATGCAGATGTTCTTAAAAGTCAGGGAACCTCTTTTTATTTAGCTCAGGGTAGGCACAGCCCTTTACATGATCTCTGGGTTTTCTTACTGCTCTCTGACTCCAACCATAATTCCTCCATTCAGACCATATTCTCAGACTCTGCTTCCATTTGTTTCCTCCATCAAGTTTTTCCCCAGTTTATCTCATGGGATCTTCTTTTGAAGCAACATAGTGAGGTGCTTGACCTTGTGCAAAAAAGTTACTGCACAAGGTCAAGCATGCAGAACACAGGAGTGAGTATCAGTATTAGAAATATGAAGAGGTTGCTATAAGAATTTGGCCTGGCAGGGTGCGGTGGCTCATGCCTATAATCCCAGCACTTTGGGAGGCTGAGGCGGTTGAATCACGAGGTCAAAAGATCGAGACCATCCTGGTCAACATGATGAAGCCCCGTCTTTACTAAAAATGCAAAAATTAGCTGAGCGTGGTGCATTCGCTTGTAGTCCCAGCTAGTTGGGAGGTTGAGGCAGGAGAATTGCTTGAACCCAGAAGGCGGAGGTTGCGGTGAGCCGAGATCGCGCCATTGCACTCCAGCCTGGGTAACAAGAGCAAAACTCTGTCTCAAAAAAAAAAATTTGGCCTTGGAATTACTATATTGATATCTCATAACTCATCATAGGTGCTTACTGATAGTAAGTTATGGGGATTTTCAAAATGAGGATGTCCATATGTTGGTTTCAGTATACCTCATCAGAGTAAATACTGAATTTGGGGGGGATTGGGCTTAAAGGTCTGGGACAACATGCTGTACAGAAGACTGATTCTTCACACTTGTTCTATGCACCTTCAGAACTTCCTAGAAAAGCCACACAATTTATGGTAATTTAGTACTGTGATTTTATTGGGTTTAAATCATAACTAAATTATTCTGTTACTTGAGGCTGCATAATTATTGAGTTATATCCTTTGATAATGTTCCTTTAGACTCTGGGTGTAACCAAATTTAGAATAATATGCTGTCATACCACTTTTAAGAAACATGTTGTATGCCATCCTTGATGACTAGTTAGAAGTGCCTCAGAGAATATTATTTGTGTGCATTTCATTAATTATTTTACTTCAAACATGAAAGTGTCTTTAAAAATTAAGATGATATCTAAAACAAAACCAGAAACAACATGGAATTCAGAACTGTGAAGGATTTGTTTCAGGAATAAAGCTGTTTCTGTGGAGTTATGAAGGGCATCTGAAGTTTATAGTTTAGTTAAATTATCAAGCATGTGTAAGGTTACTGCATCTAAAATATGTTAAATGTTTCTGTAGAACGCTTTAGGCATTTAGTATCAGAGAAAGCTTGGTTTAAAATAGCCAAATGTTGAAAATGGAAGTATTAGTTATTCCATAGCTACAACTCAAAGTCTCACTGCATAATTACACAAGAGTTGTATGTTCGCTAGAGGATCCAAGTCAGCCATGTAATCTCACCTCTAATTTACTTCTCACAGTCCCGTTGGCCATGGGGGCTTCAGGTAATCACCTATTTGTTGTAGTATCATTCTAGACATACAGCCATAGCATTGGTATTTCTTCTGAGTTTTGGGTTTGCCAAGCTAATAAATGTAAATGCTTTTTCCCTCTTCCCACAAGCTGCATCTTCAATTCAGATAGATTACCAATAGGTGTTTAGTGATACCTTTACAATCACCTCTTGGTCCAAATAAATGGATATGCTTATAGCCACAGTTAATCGAAACTAATGTTAGAGCCCACACTTCCTTATATTTTCAAATTTTATAAACATAACAAAAAATTACATGTTAAAATGACAAACTATATCCATGAACCAATTTATAATGAATAGTGATATTGTTCTTGGGGAAAGACTAGAACAAGATAAAACACCCACATACAATGGTATACTCTCTTACTAATTGTCAATGTCGATAATCACTGCTTAAAATAATTTTGCTGTTACTGACATTGGGTGAAATTAAGCCTAACAATTTTCTTAGAGTATAAAGCCATTTTGCAAAGATGTAGCTATGATACTTCAGGGCTTCTGCATAGTTTTCTTATTCTTCTAATCATCTCACTATGTAAATTGTTTTATTCTTTATATCTTTTTGCTTCTCCAGGGAAACAATAATGCAGATTTCACAACTTGCATCTCTAATTGTGGTAAAGGATAAAGTGAGAGGAAGTTTTCCAAACAGTTATATTCAGTTTGATGCCATTCGTCTTGTCTCAGGTCATCCCTCAAAGTACTGGGCTCAAGCAAGCCTCCTGTTTCAACTTTCCAAGCAACTTGGACTACAGATGTGTGCTACCACAAAAGGATAGTTTCTGTATTTTATTTTTGCAGAGACAAGGTCTTGTTTTGTTGCCCAAGCTGGTCTTAAATTCCTGACCTCAAGTGATCCTCCTGTCTCAGCCTTCCAAAGCACTGGGAGTACAGGAAGGAGCTACCTTGCCAGGCCTTCAGATTTCCATTATTCTTTTGTTATTTTTTTACCCAGAAATGTCTCCAAAGAGATAATGACTAAGTATGCCTTCATTATCCAAAGGGAAATCAGGCAAACAAATAAAAATCATAATTGAACTATGACCCTATTGTTAAGAGTCAATCTTATTGTGAGTGAGATAAAGTATACAAATTCAGATACTTGTTATCAGTTCTATTATTAATTTCTAGCCAAAAAAGTGAATTTATTTCTTTTTTTCATAGTACATTTAATTTTTATTTATTTATGTTTATTTATATATAGATATTTTTCTTTTCCAACTTTTATTTTAGATTCTGACAGTACATATCCAGCTTTGGTACATGAGTATATTGCATGATACTGAGGTTTGGGGTATAAATGATCCTGTCACCTAGGTGCCAAACATAGTACCCAACAGTAAGTTTTTCAACCCTTGCCTGCCTCCCTCCCTCCCCCTACTATGAATCCCCATATCTATTGTTTCTATCTTTATGTCCATGAGTACTTAAGGCTAGCTCCCATAAGTGAACACATGTGGTATTTTATTTTCTGTTCCTGCATTAATTTGCTTAGGATAATGGCCTCCAGCTGCATCCATGCTGCTCCAAAGGACAAAAGTTTATTCTTTTTCTAGGCCTGTGTAGTATTCCATGGTGTATATGTACCATATTTTCTTTATCCAGTTCACTGTTGATGGGCACCTAGAATGATTCCATGACTTTGATCTTATCAATAGTGCTGCAAGGAACATTTGCATACATGTATCTTTATGGTAGAATGATTTCTATTCTTCTGGATATATACCCAGTAATGGGATAGCTGGGTTCGATGGTAGTTCTAAGTTGTTTGAGAAATCTTCAGACTGCTTTCCATAGTAGTTGAACTAATTTACATTTCCACCAAGAATGTATGTGTTTCCTTTCCTCCACAGCCTCACCAACATCTGTTGGTTTTGATCTTTAAAAAATAGCCATTCTGACTAATGAGAGATGATATCTTGTAGTTTTTGTTTGCATTATCTGATATTTAGTGATGATGAACATTTCTGTCATATATTTCTTGGCCACTTGTATATCTCTTTCTGATAAGTTTCTGTTCACATCTTCTGTCCATTTTTTAAAAATTATTATTAAAGTTCTGGGACACATGTGGAGAATGTGCAGGTTTGTTACATAGGCATACACATGCCATAGTAATTTGATGCATCCATCACTCCACACTCCGTCATCTACATTAGGTATATTTCCTAATGCTATCCTTCCCCTAGCCCCCCATCCCTAAATAAGCCCCTGTGTGTGATGTTTCTCTTCCTGTGTCCATGTGTTCTTATTGTTCAACATCCACTTATGACTGAGAATATGCAGTGTTTGGTTTTCTGCTCTTGTGTCAGTTTGCTGAGAATGGTGGTTTCCAGCTTTATCCATGTCCCTGCAAAGGACACGAATGCCTCCTTTCTTATGGCTGCATAGTGTTCCATGATGTATATATGCCACATTTTCTTTATCCAGTCTATCATTGATGGGCATTTGGATTGGTTCCTAGTTTTTGCTATTGTGAACAGTGTCACAATAAACAAACATGTGCATGCCTTTATAATACAATGATTTATAATCTTTTGGGTATATATCTAGTAATTGGATTGCTGGGTCAAATGGTATTTCTAGTTTGAAATCCTTGAGGAATCGCCACACTGTCTTCCACAATGGTTGAACTAATTACACTCCCAGCAACAGTGTAAAAGTGTTCCTATTTCTCCACATCCTCTCCAGCATCTGTTGTCTCCAGATATTTTAATGATCGCCATTCTAACTGGCATGAGATGATATCTGTGTGGTTTTGATTTGCATTTCTCTAATGACCAGTGATGATGAGCAGTTTTTCATTTGTTTTTTGGCCTCATATATGCCTTCTTTTGAAAAGTGCGTGTTCATATCCATAACCCACTTTTGAATGGGTTTGTTTTTTCTTGTAAATCTGTTTTTATTCTTTATAGATTCTGGATATTAGCTTTTGTCAGATGGGTAGATTGCAAACACTTTTCCCCATTTTGCTGGTTGCCAGTTCACTCTAATGACCATTTCGTTTGCTGTGCAGAAGCTCTTTAGTTTAATTAGATCCCGTTTGTCTATTTTGGCTTTTGCTGCCATTGCTTTTGGTGTTTTAGCATGAAGTCCTTGCTTATGCCTGTCCTGAATGGTATTACCTGTGTTTTCTTCTATGATTTTTATGGCATTAGGTCTTAAGTTTAAGTCTTTAATCCATCTGGTTAATTTTTGTCTATGGTGTAAGGAAGGGATCCAGTTTCAACTTTCTGCATATAGCTAGCCAGTTTTCCCAACACCATGTATTAAAGAGGGAATGCTTTCCTTATTGCTTGTTTTTGTCACGTTTATCAAAGATCAGATGTTGTAGATGTGTGGCATTACTTCTGAGGCCTCTGTTCTGTTCCATTGGTGTACATCTCTGTTTGGTACCAGTACCATTGCTGTTTTAATTACTATAGTCTTGTAGTAATAGTTTGAAGTCAGGCAGTGTGATGCCTCCAGCTTTGTTTGTTTTGCTTAGGATTATCCTGGCTATGAGGGCTCTTTTTTGGTTCCATATGAATTTTAAGGTAGTTTTTTCCAATTCTGTGAAGAAAGTCTTAGCTTTATTCTGTGCATTGAATCTATAAATTATTTTGGGTAGTATGGTGATTTTCACAATACTGATACTTCCTAACCATGAGATTGGAATGTTTTTATCTCTTATTTCCTTGAGCAGTGATTTGTAGTTCTTCTTGAAGAGGTCCTTCACATCCCGTTAGTTGTATTCCTAGGTATTTTATTCTCTTTGCAATTGTGAGTGGGAGTTCACTCTCTATTGGCTCTCTGTTTGTTATTGGTGTACAGGAATGCTTGTGATTTTTGCACACTGATTTTGTATCCTGAGACTTTGCTGAGGTCGCTTATTATTGAGGGGATTTTGGGCTGAGATGATAGGATCTTCCAAATATGCAATCATGTCATCTTGAAAATAGAGACAATTTTACTTCCTCTTTCCCTAATTGAATACTCTTTATTTCTTTTTCTTGGCTGATTTCCCTGGCCTGAAATTCCAATATGTTGAATAGGAGTGGTGAGAGGAGTCATCCTTGTCTTGTGTCAGTTTTCAAAGGGAATTTGCCCTTTCAGTATGATATTGGCTGTGGGTTTGTCATACATAGCTCTTGCTATTTCGAGATACATTCCATCAATACCTAGTTTGAGAGTTTTTAGCATAAGGGGCTGTTGAATTTTGTTAAAGCCCTTCTCTGTATCTATTGAGATAATCATGTGGTTCTGTCTTTGGTTCTATTTATGTGATGGATTATGTTGATTAATTTGAATATGTTGAACCAGCCTTGCATCCCAGGGATGAAGCCAACTTGATTGCGATGGATAAGCTTTTTTTGATTTGCTATTTGATTTGGGTTGCCTGTATTTTATTGAGGATTTTCACAACAGTGTTCATCATGGATGTTGGCCTGAAATTTTCTTGTTTAGTTGTGTCTGTGCCAGATTTTGGTATCAGGATGATGTTGGTCTCCTGATTTGGGAAGGATTCCCTCTATTCGTATTGTTTGGAATAGTTTCAGAAGGAATGGTACCAGCTCCTCTTTGCACATCTGGTAGAATTTGGCTGTGAACCTGTCTGGACCTGGACTTTTTTTGGTTGGTGGGCTATTAAGTGTTGCCTCAACTTCAGACCTTGTTCTGGGTCTATTCAGGGATTCAACTTCTTCCTGGTTTAGTCTTGGCAGGGTGTAATGTACAGGAATTTATCCATTTCTTCTAGATTATCTGGTTTATTTGCATAGAGGTGTTTATAGTATTCTTTGATGGTAGTTTTGCATTTTGTGTGGGATTGGTGGTGATATACCTTTTATCATTTTTATTGCATATATTTGATTCTTCTCTCTTTTATTCTACTTAATAATCTATTTTGTTGGTCTTTTCAAAAAGCTCCTGGATTCATTGATGTTTTTGAATATTTTTGTGTCTCTATCTCTTTCAGTTCTGCTCTGATCTTAGGTATTTCTTGTCTTCTGCTAGCTTTAGACGTTGTTTGCTCTTGCTCCTCTAGTTGTTTTAATTATAATGTTAGGGTGTTAATTTTAGATCTTCCCTCATTTCTCTTGTAGGTATTTAGTGCTATAAATTTGCCTCTACAAACTGCCTTAAATGAGTCTCAGAGATTCTGGTACATTGTGTCTTTGTTCTCATTGGTTTCAAAGAACATCTTTTTTCTGCCTTTGTTTCATTATTCATTCAGTGGTCATTCATTAGCAGGTTGTTCAGTTTCCATGTAGTTGTGAGGTTTTGAGTGAGTTTTTAAATCCTGGGTTCTTATTTGATTGCACTGTGGTCTGAAAGACTGTTTGTTAGGATTTCTGTTCTTATGTATTTTCTGAGGAGTTTTTTTTTACTTCCAATTATGAGGCCAATTTTAGAATAAGTATGAGGTGGTGCTGAGGAGAATTTATGTTCTGTGCATTTGGGCTGGAAAGTTCAGTAGATGTCTATTAGTTCCACTTGGCCCAGATCTAAGTTCAAGTCCTGGATATCTTTGTTAATTTTCTGTCTCATTGATCTGTCTAATATTGACAGTGGATTGTTAAAGTCTCCTATTATTATTGTGTGGGAGTCTAAGTCTCTTTGTAGGTCATTAAAGACCTGCTGTCTGTATCTGAGTGCTTCTGTATTGAGTGTATATGAATTTAGGATTATTAGCTCTTCTTGTTATATTGATTCCTTTACCATTTTGAAATGCTCTTCTTTGTCTCTTTTGATCTTTGCTGGTTTAAAGTCTGTTTTATCAGAGACTACAATTGTGACCTCTGCTTTTGTTTTTTTTTCATTTTCATTTGCTTGGTAAACATGACTTCATGCCTTCATTTTTAGCCTATGTGTGTCTCTCCATGTGAGATGGGTCTCCTGAATACAGCACACTGATGAATCTTGAGTCTTCATCCAATTTGCCAGTCTGTGTCTTTTAATTAGGGCATTTAGCTCATTTACATTTAAAGTTACTATTATTATGTGTGTATTTGATCCTGTCATTTTGATGCTAGCTGCTCGTTTTGCTCATTTGTTTCTTC